TGCAGCCTGCAAAACAATACATTTAGACGAACAGAGAAACGATGAAATGGCTTTTCGGGAAAACTAACGAGTAAAGTAAACTAGGAAAAAGTTCATAAGCATGGTTACTACATTGAGTTCCTTGTATTCATCATCCATGTCTTCAGCATCTTCATCCGCATTAACATCACCGTCTTTCTCTTTGTTTTTGCTTTTATGCTTTTTCATATCTGCAGATTATTTTTACATCAATACCTGTTAATCCATATGTTTTTAGTAGACTGTGTATGATAACGAGTGATAATAATATGCATAGCACAAGATAATGCCTGCTTCATTGCAGATATTCGATTTTGGCACATGTGATTGATCCCCCGTATATTTACTTATAAACTAGTCGAGCGTGTTTCCAACATATTTATTCTTCGATTTCACCATGCCTTAACACAGTTAAGAGACCATTGAGAGAAAAGAACTGTGCTCAATGCATGTCAACAGTCACTAACTAGACTGCCTAAAACATAAAGGAGACTGAAATTGAAATTTTGTTGCTGATCTTACCTTTGGCTGTTTTCTGGTGATCCGGTTGACATGATTTCAGTGCATCTTTCTGCATCCGTGTCTTCTCTGACCTTACAAACTCTTCTTGAATAGATTTAAAAACATCTTCGAAACCTGGCTCAGGAAACACAGATACAAACCTCACAGCTACACGGAGTCTCAAATTATCAAGCAGCGCTTCTGAGAACCATCCTGTTTTATACTGGCAACAAAACACATCAAATCAGATAACCAAGATCTCATATGGAACAACCTATAGTTCATAAAATTGACGGGCTTGTCAAACTTTTACGTATTTACGCTATGGTGTTATTGGTGAAGAGTATTTTGGTAGTGGCATTTTCGCAAGTGCATCTAAAGGTCTGATCTGTAACTTTTAATGATAAAGCAACATGTCATATAATCTGTCCTTCACTGTTTACACAACAAGCGAGAGAATATTTTTTTGGTATTTATTTCATGGAAAAAACTTAGCTGAGAACTCACATTGCAAGTAGTCTGCTTGGGAGGCTTTCTAATCTCTCGTTGAATGTACTCGTCGTCAAGTTCAAATAACTGTAGAAATGTTTGGCATTTGAAAGGAAATACTTTAAACGAACAAATGTCATCCCAGCTTGGCTTTGACCTGACACAAAGAAGAAAAGAAAATATCACTTTCAAATCAGACCTTTTCTCCATACATAAATCCAATGATTCAGTTGCAGTTTCTCAATATAACATGCTAAATCCATGATATGCTCCCACACAAGGTATCTTAAATTTTCTAAAGAGAATGTTGAGATCCTTGGAAATTGGCAGAAAATCGTAAAATCCAGACACATTACTACACGAAACTTGAACTAAAAGGCCCTACAAGTTTTTGGACACAAATGTGAATTGTCCCATACATATTAACAAACTGAGAATCTTGAGTCGAGAAAAGATTGAGTTTACAACGAGATAGGGAAATCTTACGTGTTAGTTGCATTGGCATCACAATAACCCCTTAATTCAGGTGGAACCCTGAATTCCATTCTCTGGAATCTGAAAAACAAAAAAAATACACACAATGAAGATAGAGGTGAAGAGCTTTGACATACATTTGCAGACTGGATGCAAAAAAATGTGTCACAGAACATGCATTTGTAATATGAATGAATTTATAGAGATAGAACTCACACTCGAGATTCGGGATCTTTCCGTGGATCATAGCCTCTTTTAATCCAGAACCTAAGAAATGGACCACCCGAGAAATAATATGCAGCCCTCAGAAGAAACCTACAAAAAAAAAACTTTAGAAAGTTGGTTATTGCAGTACTAAGAAAACTAATACACAGAAGAAACGCATAAAATCTGTTCACCTGTTTAGCATATGATGCGTGCATTGAAGACCTTTATCACGTAGCCGTTCGACTATGGAATCTCTTGTCCATACAGGTCGCTCTTCAAACAATGCAGACACTTCTACCTGCCATTGCCATTGGTCGGAGCTGGGAACAACAAAGTCTTCCCAGTTTAACGACTTTGGGATCTGTATGGACGCTAAGGACTGATCAAAGGTATCCAAATTGACAAACAAAGAATTAAAAAAACATGGCTTCATACTCAGCAAATAATAAGATTTAGAAGATTCGTAAAACAGAGAAAAGGATATCTTTGACACTGAAATCAATTGCAAATACTGGGCCAATATCTATCTGCATCATGAGTAAATCAATTAGCAGATGGAGAAGTAGCAACCACAAATAAACTGTCATGGCATCTATAACATTTAATAAAAAACAGAATAGTAAATGTCGAATGGTTTCGTTTCTTCTTTTACCTCATTAAGATTCTGAGTTGCTGCCTCATCTTTCTTTTTCGAACCTGATGTTCCTGGAAGTCTTAGCCTGTGAATCAAACAACGTAAGTGGAATTAACAATAGAACCTACAACAATTTAATCAATTATTTTCTCCTTCATTGTTCGC